AATGGTATTTTTCTTTAAGGTAGTATACTGTCTTTGTCTCTATTATTGGGTAACAGATTTGGAGGTAAATTAGAGCAAGGTTGAGCATCTATAGAACAGCATTAAAAATGCTGGATGTGGAATCAATTTTAAGCTTTATAATTTTTTTTAGTAACCTTAGACTATGTACTCCTTTTGTGTCTCATTTTCAAATTCTATAAAATAGAGTAATCACAGCTTTGAAGAAGTTTTATGAAGATATAGTGGTACAGAGTCATATCTTCATTCATATCACACTAAAAGAACCACTAATACATACCTGTGTTTTCTGAATAATCCAAGATTCGTAATGTGACGAGGGAGAAAATATTTAATATTGGAGTCATGAGGGAAAATCCAGGCAGAAGTGAAGGAGTTCAGAGTATGTCACCCCAAAATGCACACCCTAAAATTGGCATACTATATGTCCAGGGAACAATAGGACTGACAAGGCTGCTAAATATGCAGCCCAAAATAGAATCCCTTCCCTTTTTCCACCCAATTTATAAACCTGCCTTTATCCCTGACTGATATTATTAACCATTCAGGCAAATACCCTACAATCTTGAAAAAGACAAAGGTATACAAAAGGGTGACAAACAATTAGATTATACATTGGGTCAAACAGACTTCCTGTGGTCCCCTTTCTTTTGACCTTTTGGCTTGTATTTATTTCCCATCAGATGGGACATATGGGTAGATGGGAGATAGTTAAGGAACTAAAAGATAATTCATTCTCCCTTGGCACCCACAAATTTTCTAACCAAATTATCTCCCAGTGTACTACTACTTATTAATCTCACCAAGTTTCTGGATGAAACCAACATACCTCAGGAAATCCTCCAAGGCCCACATTGCCCCTTGTGGAATCCCAAAATGGATTCCATAGATTTATCTCCAGTGTCAAGCTATTCCCACTATTTGGTTATCATCTGTGTATTTAGTGGGTGGACTGAATGTTACCCAGCCAGAAGTACCAATGCCGCAACAGTGGTGAAGAATTACTAACTGAGATTATTCCTTGTTTGGGCATTCCTTTATGGATTGGGTCAGATGAAGGAACTAATTTTACAGCAGAAATTAACCATCTGCAAAACTTTGGAGTACTCATTAAAATTTCACACTCCGTATCATCCCTAATCCTCATGGCAAACAGAACATAAAAATCCAAACATCAAAAGGACTTTAGAAATAATCTGTCAAGAAACTGGATTTAATGTCCAGGAGCACTACCTCTGGACCTTATAACATCTGGAATACTCCAAATAGAAAACATAACATCTGTTGAAAAAATGTTTGGTCACCCTATTCCTATTGGCATCTCTAAACCTTCTATTCCTTGATTGAGTGAACATTATAGGGCGTGTAAGTGAAAAATGTGCTATTGATTTGATGTGGGCAAGGAGCAAACAGTCAAAAATAAATCTTGAGACAGTGCAAAAATATGTTTTTATTATGGCAGGGGACAGGGACCGTGGGCAAACAAGAGCTGCAATGTGATTGTAAACAATGACTGAGTATATACTTCAAGTTGGAAGAGGGAGAGATACAGGAAGTTTCCAAAAGGATTTTCATATATTAAAGAAGACTTACAGGATCCTGGAGGTCAGACTAATGTCAAGCTAAAGCTGCTTTTTGCCTCTAGCAAAGCACTAACCTTACGGCAGTTGTGGGTTCCTTGAGGAGTGTCCTACTCCACCTGCCTCAAGAATTTGTGAATGGACTGCAAGTTGTAAAGCGATTTAATTTTATCTACAATTCTTTTGCCTTTGTTCTCCATGTCACTATGACTAGCTATATACAAGAACTAACTAGTATAAATGGAGCATATCATCAACAGGTAAAAATGGCACAGGCTCTGCTTACTGGCAAGCTTTGCCATCCCTTTTGACCAGAAGACTAGATGTACATTGATGTTTCTAGAGGAGCACACACATTATCACCTCACTGAGAAGACCTTTATAAAGGACTACTAACGACTCACACTGCTATCAAAATAAAAGAAAAATCCTTCTGGATTCACACAAGCCATGCCAAGTTAGACCAGGATCAGCACTCCCAGGACAATTGGAAGACCATTCCTAAGGTGAGCTTAAAGTAAGGATTTCCCAGGCAAATTCCCAGGTCCTAGAAGCAGACAAAATCATGAAGTAGACAGCTTTTCTCAAGATCACAGATCAAGAAACTTCACTTCCACCTATTTTCTCCCCCACTGGGTCTTCCTACTCCCAGAGGAAAATAAAAAAGAGAAAAAAAAAATCTTCCTTTTAACAAAGCTTCCCCTATCTTTAGCCAATTACGAAAAGGCTGATTGGACGGGCGCCTAGCTGGCTCAGTACCGTGGAGCACAAGATTCTTGATATCGGGGTTGTATGTTCCAACCCCATGTTGGGTGTAAATATTACCTTAAAATCTTAAAAAAAAAAAAAGAGGCTGACTGGAGACTGATTGTCTCAGTCTAACATACTTTCCCTCTGATCCTCTACTATAGGCTGTCCTTCAAACTGGTGCTCACTTTACTAACTCTTACTGTTCCCTCAGCAGGTTATGCACAGACCTGACACCCCCTCAACCACTCTTCCAAACCCCGGCCACATTAACTAAACACTCTGGTTTTTGGTAATGTCAACATCTAGATCATGCAAAAGAACCTGAAATTAATTTTTATTCCTGCCAAGAAGACCAACTGGTGGACCAACTCTGGAAAATAGATGCATGACAGGTTATGACACCCATGGCCAAAAAAATTATCATTCTTCTCTTTTTGTGAGTCAGTTGTACATGGAAAAATCTCTGTGGAAGCTCAAGGACTGTCCTTTGCTCAGACATTAGAAAAGACTTTTTTCCCCTTTGCACTGAAAATCGCGATGGTACTGAACTTTCCCCACATGACATACTAAGGCAATATTACAACCAAACCTTGTGGTCTGATTCCACAGGTAGCATCCTCAAGCCTCTCATGAAGGTCAGAAATGGTCTCATTACTGACTCTTAATGCTATCAACACCTGCCAAACCACCATATTTCACAGCAGGCTCCAAAGCCACCCTTGTGTAACGTGGGAGCAGCTGCACCGCCAAAGGCCAAAAATTACATATTGGGAACCCCAAAATTTGCACTCACCTGGTCACGTAACAAAACCAAGCCTTACAGCTGCTAAAGCCTAATTGCAGGCCTCTTCTATCTGATCTTTCACAATCTGTTCTGCTCCTATTGACTGACAGGGATACACGGAAGATGGAAATGGGCAGGTCACCACATGACAGGTGACAAGATCACCAAACCCCAACTTAGTAAGTCACAAGTTTCATTCTGACCTTATCCATGAACAATACTGGTCTTTTTATCTTAGGTGATGATAAGGTAATAAAGAGTTCCACCTAGATGGTCAAGAGGATGTGGACTCAGATTCCTGACACTCTCTATAACCAGGTACTCCATCTTAAATGCCAGCCAAATTACAAACTTGGGTTCCTTTGATCATAAAATAGAGCCACATAAATATACTAGACATGATGTTACAGAAAACTGGCTTGTATATCACAATTCTAAGTTTTTATGAATATTGACCTCCCTTTTCCCAGGCTTTGTAACTTACGAGTTGGAAAGCCTGTTCTAAATCTTTCCATAGAAATGGAACAAGAGTTCAGTATCACCACACAAACACTGGAAGCCATTCTATGAGAAGTTAATAATTTAGGCTCTGTTATACTCCAAAGGTACCTCGCCCTGGACACACTGACAGTCCAAAAGGAGAAGCGTATGCAATCATTGCTGAAGAATGCTTCTTCTGTGTAAACTGCTCGGGACAAATAGTGTCTAACCTGACCCTTTGAAAGACAAGATAAACGCCCTCCATCAGATAAATGAGGTCCAGCCATTCTGTTGGACTGACCTATTTCCGGGGACAGGAGACTGATTTAATGGGGTGTGAGGAAATGTGCTTGGATTTGTCATTTCCTATTTATTCTTATTCTAATCTATGCTCTTCTTTTCCTTTGCTGATAGATCCCTCCCCACTTGGTAGCTAAGCCAATTCTTTCCACAACCATCAATGCAGCTTTTATGAGAAACATCTAAGGAATTTTCAGACAGAGGAAATGAAGTTCAGAGCAAGTCACCCCAAAATACACACCCTAAAATTGGCATACTGATTAAATTAAAGAAGCTTGAGAAACAGCAGGTGCAAGAGGGTCACTGCGACTTTCCTGAATTCTTCCTGACAGGAGATAAAACTCTCATGGGAAAGGTGCCCTCCCTCTACCAGGAGGAAGAAAAACAGTCTTATCACCAGAGATGGGGAATCAGGCTGAGAAATCTGTGCAAACCAACCTTGTTACACTAATGTTTATCTTCCTAGTCATTCTTCCACAGTTTGCTACCCCTGACCCAAACCCTTTGTCTCACGTGATTCTTTGTCTAAAAGGTATAAAACGTTCTGTTCCGGTCATTCTTTGAGTGTTCATTCTACTGCCAAGGTTCTCACGTACATGTTTTTAAAAAAAATTAATAAAACTTGTGTGCATTTCTCCTGTTAATCTGTCTTATGTCAGTTTAATTTTTGGACCCTGTTGGAAACCCAAAGAGGGTAGGTAAAGAATTTTCCCTCCCTTACAATGGTCAGTCATTTTCTTTCTGCTAGCACTCTAATCTCATAGGGGACTACACTTCCAAACCTTTGGGTTATTCTACACGCAACATTCTCATGATTTGCTCTCTGGCCCCCTAAGAAACTCACACTCATAATGACGTCTGTCTCATTATAGCTTTTACAGGATTAAATAAGTGTAACGTGTTATATACACAAAACAAAACCTATCAGAGGGGGCCCTAAACCTGGTATAAGGGACCCCAAAGAGCAGGGATAAGGAAAGGGGACCGCGGGGAGTGGCTGGGTGGAATCCATCACCTGACAGGAACGGGACTTGATAGTGACTTCTGGCGAGGCGGGCGCCTTTTCCTTCCAGCGAAACCTGTCTAACCAGCTTTTCCCCAGGGTGCAGCAGAACCCGCGGGCGGGCGGACGGCTTACTCCGCTTCCGGGTGGTGACCGAGCTGCCTGCCGGCTGTCACGGAGACAGCGGACTTTCGGGCGGCGCCTGCGCGTTGGAAGAAGAGGGCACCGGGCCCGTTTCCGGAGATGAGGAACGCGCATGCGCAGGCGGCCAGACTCTGGCCAGTTTAGGGCAAGGTGAACGCGGAAGTAGGGTACTTGTTTTTCTGGCTGCTCCGTCTGTGGTGGGGTGCTTGCTGCGAGATGGAGGCGGGCGCAGCTGCGGAAGATGGTCGGGACGGTCTCCGGGAGCGGCGAGGCTTGGATGAAGCTGGGAAGCAGCAGCAGAACCACGAAGTGCGATCTCAATCCCGGGCCGACCGGTTTCCAAAGCATTCCTACTGGTTGGATCTCTGGCTCTTCATCCTCTTCGATGTAGTGCTGTTTATCTTCGTCTATCTTTTACCATGGTGAGGACTCTGAACGCAGAGTTGAACTGGTAGGGAGTTTACCACCACAGTTTGGGGGGGTGGGGAGCAAGGTAACCGAATTCCAGAAAGTATGGTATGCCATATCTATCTATCTATCTATCTATCTGGTTAATGGCGGTGTCGAGAGGCGGGTGGTATTTGGGGTCGGGTTGAGGCTGGAATGAAAGTGTTCTTCCTTGGCACCTCAGTGAGCATCTTCAGAGAGGTGTGGAAGAAACTTGGCTTCATAATTTCTCTTATGTTTTGGAATGAAACGAGCTGGGTTTGAGTATCTGCACTACCACAAAGAAATTAAAGAGGTTATTTAACTTTTCTGAGCTTTATTTTTCCATTTGCCATTTGGGACCATAATAACAAGGTCATAGGGTTGTAGCGAGGATTAAATGAGTATTTTATCTAAAAGCGATTCGCATTTTTGCCTGGCAGCAGTAAGCGCTTGACTAAAGGTGTTGTCACTATAACTATAGTTTGACCTCTAGTAGGCCAGGTAGGTATCTCAAACAGGTCCAAGCCTGAACTCAGACTAATTTCTTACCAAAATGTACTTATTTTTCAGTGTCCCTATTTCAGGAAATTTAAACTTTATTCATTCAGTATTCCTTCCAGAAGCCTGGGACTCTGATTTTCCCCTTTTATTTACACCCACACATCCCAAAACACCCAACTGTTAATCACAAAATTCTGTAGGTTCCACTTGCAAAATCCTTGCTCTCCATTTTCATTGCCACTGACTCTGAAAAGACACTTTTGGAAGAGGATAAGGGGAGGAAAGGTAGAGAAGGCGCTGGGGAGCAGAACAACAAGAGGGACAAGGACCGAGGTGATAGGAAAAGTTCAGGAGAGAAGCAGTGAGCTGAAGGGCGGGCCAGTGGAAGAAAAGCAGTGCAGCTCATTTGGACATTAGGGAGCTCTCTTGGACTTTGGAGTTGTTGACTTATAAATTAACTTTTCTCAATCATTATGCGTATGAGTTTGCAATCCATGATAGGCAGTTATGTCTTCTTTCTCCGCCCCAGAATTTTGGCAAAGATTTGGGCATGACCTCCTTGTATCGAAGACCCCATTGTCACTGATTTCTTGGATAATGTGGCAGATTAGAAGGCAGAGGGTTGAGTGGAGTGAATGGAAGAGGTGGATATTTCTATAAAATACTCTGCCAGACTCTTTGTAGAGTTTTCACTCTCCTCTACTTCCCCTCCTTTTTTGGTAGAGACTGATATCTCAAATACAGTGTTTTTTTGTTTTTGTTTTTGTTTTTTTAAATGAGTTTTCAGCTCTGGATAGAAAATGAAAAAAAAAAAAAAAAAAGAAGAAGAAGAAGAAGAAGAAAGAAAATGGAAGCGATGGGAGGAATAGTCCAGGTCTTTTTTTTCTCTCTTATCAATACATAAATCATTTAGGAACAGGAAAGTGACTGAGACAATCTAGATTTTCAGATATTGGGTCTAAAGTATAGAATCTGGAAGGAGGAAACATTGTTGACAAATATTTGGTTTTTACAGAATGGTTTGCCTGATGTCTAGATTAAGAAGTTGACTCCTGGAGTGGATTCTGAAAATGACTGCAAACTTCTTGAACAAAGAAGACAGGGTTGTGCAACAGAATTTCAAACTCTGAGGAACTTTTCTTTGATTTTACATACTCTTGTTACTCCTTTTGGGGACTATATTAAATGGGTAATGATCTCACCCGTTCATAGCTAAGTTCTTAAAATTACTCTGATTCATGTTTAAAAGCTTTTCAAACATCTGATGGCTTTATAGGGGCTGAATATTAAAGTATTTATATGTAAAGGTTTAGGGTATTCATTAAGAAATATGGTAATGTCTTGCCTTTAACAGTTTAAGGGTTAGCCCGGGTTTAGTATGATGCAAAAATGTGATAAAATATTAAGATGAAGTATTTAAAAATAAATTACTTAAAAACAAGGGTGAAAAAAAGGAGTTAGAGCTGTACAGAAAATGCAGGCCCACAGTGTACTGGCTGTAAGTAACAGTTTAATTTTGAAATTAAGTGGGCCTCTGTTAACAGTTACCAGATTGATAAAGTCCCAGAGAAAGTATATACAATGCAACTGTGCATGTCCTCTTACCTGGATGTCCCCTTCCTTCCTTTTAAGTTCTTGAACTTCCCTAAAATAGGACTGTGTTTGAAACCCATTTTTTATTCTTATGGTTTTATAAAGAATGCTTGCCAAAATATGGGGCTTTTTGTTTTGTTTTGTTTTTTGAATAATGTCTGTACCTTAAATACTTCAGCAAAGTCATTTCAACAAATATTTGAGCACTTACTCTGGGCCAGGTGTGGTAGAGCAAAAAAGACAAAAATTTTTTGCCCTCATGGAGCTTGCATTCTTTTATTTATCTAACAGTGTTAGTAAGAATTTACATTCTAGGAGTGATCAGCTAGTGTTTAATTAGAAAGGTCACACTTCCAAAGCAGCTACTAAAAGCCCTTCGGAAGCTATTCCTATTACATAACAGATACTCCTTTATGTAATGGATGTTAGAAAGGGGCTCTTGTTGAAATTGGTGACATTTGATACATGTGAATTGCCTAAATATTTTGAGGATATTCACCTCCCTTAGAAATAGGGCATAGATCTGGTAAACTCTATACCTTCTCTCTTTTAGAATGACTTTAGAATGAAATCCAGGACTGATTTTGGAAAATTTTAGTTGCCTATTGCCAACTACAAGGTAACAATTATGTGTCCAGGGTATTCCATCTACTTGAGAGAGAACCTTTTATGCAGAGGTTGATGCATCTAAAGAAACACAAAACTGGAATTTTATTGAGTATACCAAACAGTATGAACTGTTTTTCTGCTGCTTGCTAATAATTTTGTCCAATAAATGTTTATTATGTAGCTAAATTTGGTCTGATTTTGGATTTTGCATGTTTAAACAAATTACTTGGTAAGTAGCAGGGTTTGGAAAGGATTACCAGTTCTCATGTAGCTTAATGTTGGGTTATACACAAAATTTTATAATTCGTACTATGTTTCTGAGCCTGAAATCAGCCTAGTACCACAACTACTGAATATTTTGAAAATTTCTAGCAGAGGGAATGTAGCAAGGTCTTGCTGTTATGACGTGACTGTAAATGGCATACAAAAATGGTTCCAGTAGGAGGGCTGAATCGTTTCTACAGCTAATGAATAAGAAATTATACCTACTGTGCCATCTCAAGTATAGTGAGTTCTTACAGCACCCACACTTGAAGGCTAAATGGGTAAAGGGTAACTAACTGGGTAAGGCTAAAGGATGAATGGGACACCAAGAAAACTTGGCAAACTTGCTATGATGAAAACAAAGAATAACATCAATGTTTTAATCTGATAAATTTTAATCTGATAAATTCCTTTGTAAATTTCAAAAACTTAATTTCATGTAAATGAAATGATTATTTTAATAACCATTTGAAATGAACTGGCTGACCAGTTATTGTGGCAAAGTCTTTAAGATTTAGGAGTCTGTGAACCTGAAAATTTAAGATAGAAACATCTCCATGTATCTAGTCCCTAAATGGCATGGGGATACATTCAGAGACTACAGGATTATTTATTTAAGGTCTTTAAGGTTACTTAATGTAAATTATGTTCTAGGATAAGGATCATCAAACTGTGGCCAATGGGCCAAATCTGGCCTACTACCTCTTTTGATCTGGCCTGTGAGCTAGGGATGATTTTTACATTTTAAAACGGTTGGAAAAAAAATGACTATGTCATGATGTAAAAATTATATGAAACCCACGTTTCAGTGTCAAAGTTTTATTAGAACACAAACATGCCATTCATTTACATACCATTTATGGCTTCTTTCACTACAGTGGCAGAACTGTAGCTGTTTGTTACAAAGACCCTGTGGTCCACCAAGACCAAATTATTTACTATGTGGCTCTATGGAAAGTTTGCCAACTCCTATAGGAGCCCTGCTTTAGACCTCACTGCAGTTACACTTTTAGGAGCCTCTAGTGATAACATTTTATGATTAGTGATAGTCCAAGTACCCTTGAACTTTAAGTTGATTTACATTTCTCATAAAATACATAATCAACATAATACATAATCAACATGTGAGGAGAGGAAGCCATAATTCACGAATGCACAGAAAAGTCCAAACATGTTAACTTAAAAATCAGTTTATCCTAAAAATAATTCTGAACCAAAAGAAACTGATTTCACAGAAAAATAGAACATTCTGAAGATATGTATTTTGGACATTACAATAATTATTGGTTGCATTATTTCAGAAGTTACCATAATTTTATAACAAGAAGAAAACACCTACAAAAATTAGGTACTCTAGAAATTTATTTTACGTGTGAATAGTTAGTAATTATGTATTCAAATCTATATTTGGAGTGTTGAATCAACAAAAACCATTTCTGGTTTTGTTAGTACTATTACATGATTCAGGTAGTTTAAACTGGACAGTACTTTTAAAAATAGCCAAAATGAGATATTTCTATTTTGATGTTGCAACTCAAATGTTGAGTTGAAAATACGTATCTATGAGACTGTTAAATACGAGATATTAGTTTATAGGTGTCAAATAATACATTTTTAACTGGACATCTTGACCAAATAGAAATCTTAGAAAAAAACCAGACAATGTTTTTCAAAGTTACTAAAAATGCTTGAAACCCATTTTGTAATATTTTACAATGTTATAAAAGCAGTAATTAAATACAATATTTCAAATACAATTTTAAAAACTTTACAGTATTTACAAGCCTTCCATACTAAAATTTATGTTAAAAATAAGCTTTCTTAAAAGATAAAAGTTTAATATAGTTCATAGTCAAGTATTTCTAAGTTAAGAGAATATAAAGTAATAATCACGTACTGTTATGTTAGAAAAGGCAAGTAAAAACTTCTCTAAGTGGAAGACAATAATTGACCAAGATTTATTAACTGGGTAAGATTAGGTTTTTGCAAGCAATTATTTTATAGTTATCTAGGAATACTCATTTTTAATCATTTACATTTTAGGATATTTTAATTTATGGAGTTGGTCAAACATTAAATTTAGTAATCAGTTTACAGAATTAAGTTATATGTATAAAACTTATGAATGTAAGAAAATTTCTAATATTGCAGTTCTCAATTTTCCTACATGGACAATACAACACTTAGCCACAATAAGTTTACCAACTTAGTACAAAATAAAATGACAACTAATGAAATAAGGCAATTAACGTAACTTAATTTCATTTAGAAGGTCATCATGATAATGGAAAATTCTTTTATTTAAAGAAAAAAAAAAAAGCCCTCTCCATGAAAGTAGGGTAAAATGACTGTTTAGAGAAGAAAAATGGAAGGGATGCTCAAATTAATACATTTCATTAATACTAAACCCTCTATATGAAAGTAGAAATTGGATCTGGAACCCAGAAATACTCGGATTCAAGAATCTGAAAATCATTGAAATGGGTTGACAGCCTATAAAGAGAGGTTAAGATGATCGCAGGGAAAATTTAGGCAGTCACAGTGAGATCCCCAGTGGGCCCTAAGTTAATTCCTAACACTGGTTATTAGCAGCCCAAAGTAAACCAAACCAAAATAAAACCTTTCACATTTCTTATAAAATTAGAAAAAATGTAACACATAAATACACTAACGTTAAGGATTTCACTTACTTTTAGCTTACATGCCTGAAGTAAGTTTATGATCTAACAGAGGCCTAATATACGTTAACTAGGCATTATGAAGATTGAAGTTCCAGAAGCAAAATTAAGTTTCTTCTCTTCTGACCTTAAGAATTTAGTTAAAAAAACTTGCTTTATCATTAAGGCTTCCCCCTTCCAAATGCTATCATTTCATATGATGCCATATGAATATATGCTTCTAATCCATATGATAACCATATCATGGGTTGATATTTTTTAAGACACTTAAAGGGATCATAGGTAGTAGACTATCACAGAAGTCAGAAACAAATGGGTGAAGCCCTCTTTTGGTTGGTTACCCATTAGAAAGTGCTTCTTCATAAAGCAAATACTGCTTTGACTACACAAACTATGTATCACCTGGTATTTTTCAGTTAGCATAGCTTACCCATCTATACATGTGAGTACTGGTTAGTTTAATACTTACGGGTCTACCAGCCACATACAAAGGAACAAATCACATTTTTATTTAACTGCAGCAGTGACTTTTTGCATACCCTCTATTTTCTGTTTTGCAGGCACACCAAAACTGTTCAAAGGGAATTTCTAAAATACCCAATAAGTTGATCAACACAAATGAAATATATATATAGAAAATTAATGTGATTAATAACTTTAGAAATGCCATGGTTTTAGTTTCATATATCACCAGGTTTGGTCAGTCGATTCCTATTATATTTTTGTGGCGTCTGAGAAGTATAAGCTTACCAGTTTCATCACTTATCTATTACAGTGTATACTAGGTTTATACCTCTGCTCAGAAGGGCAGTTTGAACCAAGACTGTTGTGTAACTCAGGTACTAGCCTTCTTTCACTCTGAGATAGTGCATTATCATTACAAAAGCTACTGCTCTCTGGAACATGGAGCTTGGGTCTCTGGTGGTATTTCAGTCTGTATGTATCAGTCATGCAGCTATCAACTGAAAAATAGGTAGTTAATGAAATGGTCTCATTTGGACAGGCAGAACTAGAGTCTATTTCTGGTTGGCAAAATGCATCAACAGTTGTACCCAAATCTGCCTGAAAATCTTTAGTTGAAAAGCTTGATAGGTGGTTTGCTGTGTTGCCAACAGCCTCTTTTACTTGAAATGTTTCCTTAAGTCTTTCATCACGCACATATGTACCCATTTCTGAACCTGATTCTGAATCCAAACATAAACTGTGTTTTGGAAGACTACAAGAATTAGCTTTAAACATCTCTGTAAGTTTGACATTAGGTGTGGGATTATTTTTCTCTGACTGTAGCACACTGGTTATAGCATATTTCTTTGGTGGCAAAGGAGGCGGTGGATTATGGCTAACAAATTTTGACATCTGACAATCATCAGACCTGTAGGTTGACTGAATTATATGCTCCCTGGACAGAGAGTTCTCAGAACAACATTGTTCCATCATAGTTTGCTGCTGGATGAGGGGAGAAGTTTCTGGCTTTAACCCAACAGTTCTCATGTGTGAAGACCACAATGAAGATGATGAGACTACTTCATTACTGTTCATTCTCTTTCCAGGAGCAGAATTATCATCATGAGAAAGTAAACCTGTTCTTTCAGAATTTTCTGCACTAAGCCACTCAGAAAGTTTGCATTCACTTGAGGTTTCAAGTTTCTGTTCACCTGACTGGTGGATATGCTCTCTTGCTGCATTGTCCTGGAGTATCTGTGTACCTGAAGAAAGGAATAACTTTCCATTGTTTTCATGTATATGTGACCTGTAACATAAAAATAAGGACAAAGCTAAAACACCATATACAAATAGGCAAAATTGTAGGAAAAACAAACTTTTGTCCTGTAGTTTAACTTCTCAATATATACCTGATGTTACTTTTGTAACATAACAAAAATGGGAAGATATTTGTAAACATTTAACATTTTACACTCTGACTCCAAAATGTATGCCAAGATACATGAATGCTAGAAACACCTGTCATTACCAAAATTAGATTTCTAAGAATTAGCATAATTAAAAAAATTCATTTCAACTTACACTGAAATTACATTTATTTGTGACAAAATGTAGCATAAGCTTGAAAAAAATGTTATAAGCAAACACTTCAATATCCTAAAAGGCTTCTTGACCAACATTATAAAGCTTATACCAATAGAGACAACTCTGATATACAATGCTATAAAAGGATAGTAGACGAATTAAAAATAATTTAATGAAGATTACCTTTTTTTAGATAACAATTTCTCAGGTGAAGATAAATGATATCACACTGCAAATTATTTTTTGTCATGAAAATTATTTTTCTCACATAAACTTCACAGAATTCAGTTAGAGCAAAATGATGAAAAGAATAGAGGCTTTGCTAGGTAGATAAGAGCTGTATTCAAATTTCAGCTCCATTGCTTTGGGCAAATTACTTATAATAAAAGCCCCTAATTTTCTCTTATGAAATACCTCCCACCTCCTACAAATGCTATGAGGATTACAACAATCATGTATTGTACCTGGTACTCTGTAGGCCTTATATCCTTAGGTCTATATCCTTTTAATGATCCCCAATAATAGAGGCATCATAACATTGTAGGCCCATTGTTTTCAGAGTAATAATACGGATTTTTGCCCTGATAGAGTTCCTATAATACATGCATTTAATACAAAAGATTTTAGTATTTCTAAATATCTTTGATTACCTTTTTATCAAAGGATTTTTTATTTGTAGATGTGACTCTGGGTGGAACTCATGCGAATTACAGCCTACTTCCAAATTCTTGAGTTCTTTTTTAAAGGCTGAGGCTAGGAGAGAGAGAAAAAAAATTATTTAAATGATCTTTTCTAATTTACTGAGCATATACTTCCCCATAATTTACGTAAGGTTTCCTACAAATAGGTTATTCTCTTACAACTAACAAAGATTAATCAAGTTTCAGCTCAAATAGCTCTTTTCTGAATACTTTGTACAAAATAAGTAGCTGTTTCTATTATCACTTGAAAACGTCAGCTATGCCCAGATAACACTATTGCTGTTAGACTGCAGGGAGCTATGTGTTTCCCCTTAAGACATAGTCTTTGCTGACAAAATGTTGGGGAAATCCTGCATTTGAAGACAGATGGCTTGGGTTGAAGTCTGGATTCACTACTTACTGGCTAGTAGCTTTAAGCAAATTTCTCAATCCCTTAGAATCTAGTTTCCTCATTCATATGAGATAATGACACCTATTTTACCTTCCTCACAGGAACATTAGGAACATCAATGAATTTAAATGTGTGGGAGGGTAATATGGTTAACATGTAAAATGTTAACACTATCACTCAGTAGCTACCATTTATTGACTGCTGACTCAAGTTGTAAGGAGTTCATAATTATTTCATTTAATCTTTATAACTGAACATCATTTTTTACTTGAAAGATAACAGATAGGGGCGCCTGGGTGGCTCAGAGGGTTAAAGCCTCTGCCTTCGGCTCAGGTCATGATCCCAGGGTCCTGGGATCAAGCCCCACATCGGGCTCTTTCCTTGGTGGGGAGCCTGCTTCCTCCTCTCTCTCTCTGCCTGCCTCTCTGCCTACTTGTGATCTCTCTCTGTCCAATAAATAAATTAAAAAAAAAAAAAAAAGAAAGATAACAGATAAACTTTGGTTACTCAGACTTGGGTATCTGGCAGAAATTTTCTTGAAAGTAAAAGTGAACCTGTCATTTCTAAGGAAAACAACTAGCATTATTTATTGCCATTATATAAAATTTAAGTTTTTAGATGAAAATAAGAATTTTGGAAACTTTTATCCCCCACCATGAGTTTTTAGCTTCTCAAGAATTAGAAAAGCTTTCTGCTAATATTTGTGGTGATATTAACAAATGTATTTTTTAAATATAAAGAAATTTATCAACATTTGGAAGACTTGTATAATTTAGCAAATCAGTATTTTCCAAATAAGGATATACTGATGTTACAAAATCATGCATGAGTAAAGTAAATCATTCTTTAAATGAATAAATAAATTTTCCTTTTTTAAAAATAATACAGTAATTATTAACATATATAGCCTATCAAAACAAAAGCTCTTTGAGGTCCTCAATATTCTTTAATAGTATAAAAATATCCTGAGGGCAAAGCATTGCTTCAGTTGATTGAAAATAGTCCTTAAAAAATCTGTCACAACTGTTCTGTGAAGCAGTTCCCCTCTTTATACCCAAGGAAGTTAGGTGACCCAAGTAAGGCTATATAACTGGTAATTGACAGCATTTAAACCAATCAAGGACTAATTCCAAAGCCAGTGCTCTTTCTACTACCTGCAAGCTCTCTTTTGCATATGCCACTAAAATCCAAGATCATCATACAAATCTCCCCCTGAGGAAACTAGGCCCACAGAAGATATAAAAATAAATGGCTTTAGCTTAAATATTCAACTAATTCCCTATACTTCTGTAGAATTCTAGTAAGTTTTCAGTATTCTCCCTTATTTTTAGATGGCTTTTTCATCATGTTCATTTCCTTTCATTCTCATACTCCTGACTGTACTCCAAGTCTATGAATTGAAGAATGTAAAGAAAAAAAAAAAGACATTAAAGCAGCAACTTTATTTTTTAAACAATAACAAAGAAGTTTATCTTAGATGGCTTTTATCCCTAAATTGATTTTCTAGGTACATTTTTTAAAAACTACTCTGTCATTCAAAATTCAACTGGAATATATAATTGACCAAAACATCTAAATATTATCTGGTGAAAAATCTATATTCGATTATCAACAGCCTCTGCTAGTTATATCTTGAATTTCTTATATAATATATATGAGAATTTAATACCCTATATTATTGCTCACACAGTAAATGTTACCTTCCAATAAAAACCCAAGATAGTAGAATGAGGGGAACTATAAGTCTGGCATTCATTTGCTTAAGATTTCACATTCCTACATCCACTAGACTGCAGTAAGTTCTTTATTATTGGACAATATGTCCCCTTTTTGTTATTTCCCCCCTAGTACAATATCTAGCACATAAAAGATATTCAGTGAAAGTCTAGAGAATGAATAAACAATTACATGGAAAACATAACTGTTTTTCTTCTTGTAAATCATCCCCACCCTGTCCACCATGTTCCTGACTCACAGAACCAGGACTAGGTAAGAATAAGCTAAGATAAATTCTTCTTACCTTTCCCCCTGACCTATCTTGAGTCTATCAATTGCCACACTAATACAAATTTTAAAAATAAAAGGCAGTATAATTTATCCCAAAGAGTGTTAGTTGCTTGTAAGCCTAACCCACTGCCAAGACTCAAAAAACAGCCTCTCTTCAATAGCTACTTTATGGGGGGCGGGGTTAGTAATGTCAAAAAGAACTTCAAAAATTCTTTAGCCTGGAAAATTTAAGTTGAAATTACATTATAATTATCCATTCACCTTGATTTTAACTTCAGAATGTTTACTTAACTTATCCATAATTCCAGGTTTATTATTCACAAACACCAGAAAAAACAATTCTTAAAAACCTCTTTACTATTATTAATGTATCCATATAACAGACAGCAGGAGGCAGCAGAAGTCTTATAAATATGTTTGAAATTTTAATATCACTAAGGCAGGCATTCAACCAAGTGGTTTGACTTCAGAATTCCAACTAACTTAAAAATAGATGTGTTATTTTTCTCTTCTGCTGACATAAACATCCATGTGTCTTTGCTGGGAATTTTGGCTCCAGGTTCTTTGCAAATCTAAAATGGTCTGATTTTTACACTTGGCACAGAAGACACCTTAACATCAAGGCAAGAAGCTTTAGTTAATAATACTAATTTTGATACTTTATTTTTTTAAAAAGCCCAATAGTGAAATAGTTAAAAAGCCCAAAATATATGTTTCATTTGAAAAGATGATCTATATTTAAAATAGGCTTAGGCACCAATAAAACTAAACTGCTGTTCTAGACAATGTAATCTTCACTCTTGTATAGAGGGATTTCAAAATATAACCCCAAAACTACTATTACAAAGCCTAAACATACAAGAGCAATAATCTAATCAATGATCTGATTTACAGTTTAAAAAGGTGTTAATAAAATTTGAATACTTTCGAAAAAATCACATGATTTTAACTGGCCTCTTTACCTTCTTTGTTTCATTTTCCTTCTACCTCCAGAGATCTTACTCCATCAATTACTGGTCTGTTCTATTGTTATTTTAGTACCTTTCTTTTCTCTTAAGCATCATTAATTCCTTATGCTCTGTAAAATAAATGCAAAACTAAGCTCTTGGTTGCTTCTTTGTCCTCTAAGTACTGCTTCTTTGAACAGACATTTCTTTACTTCTGTTTCATTAACTTTACATTGTACTATAATTTCCTAAGACATTTTATTTGCAAATAATTTCAAAAAGTTCAGAAAAACCAAGATATTAAAACTACTACAAAAATTACCTGTATATCCTTTACCCAGATTCACCCATTAACATTTTTTTCTGAACCACTTTAAGTTACAAACATCATGGCCCTTTACTATTTCTAAATACTTCAGTCTACCTCAAGCTTGCTCCTATTTCTAATGTTCCTCTTATACTGCTTTTCCTCTATCACTAATGACTTACTAACTGCTAATCAGACCTGCATTTTTAAATCCATATTCTACTCAATCTGTGGCAACCTGTCTTCTTGAAACTCCCCATTTTCCTGGTTTCCCTGTGATAATCTTCTCTCCTTTTTTTTTTCTCATCCTTTTAGCTACTCCTCATACTTCCCAAAGTTGCTCCTTCTCTCTATCCTTAGCTCTTTTCTCTTATTTAGCAAACCCCACGTTTTTTCCTTTATCTATTTTTTTCCTTTGTCTCCCTTTCTCCTGAGTGATACAGTCCATGTCTATGGCATTTAATTCCCATATATGTGGCTGGTTACCGAACGAATCATCTCTCCTGAGTTGTAGACATATGTCCTTAACAGCCTAATAAATCTATTCACCTAGATGATAAATCAAAAAATAAATTTGGCATCTTCCTCTCATCCCCCAAAAGTTGTTTCTTCTTCCTATATTCTTTGATTTGGTACCTTGTGATCTACTTATGTAAGTCTCAAATAACAGCTATCCCCAGCTTCTCCTCTTCCTCCCTTTTGTACATATGTCATAAAAACTGACTCCACTGTCTACACTTTCTTATAAACTCTCAAATCTTCTTTTGTGATATTGGTACTTTTCTTTCCAGACTGTTCAAACAGTCATCTAACTACTGTTTCTCTCACTGCTCCAAATTCACTCTCTACATTGCCACCAGTCTTTCTGAAATGCAAACTGGAGTGTATTACTCTCCTTGTCCTCTGGTGCCTTTCCACTTACTATAGGATTTAAAAATAGCATAAAAGTTTCATCATGATTTGGCTTCTGTCCACTCTCTTAACTATCATCTTACAATTTCCATATATGCTCTCAGCCTTGCATAGACCAAACTACCTGTATTCTTACAATATGTGATACTTTCTCCCAACCATGTAGTTTTGAACATATAAATTCTTCTGTCTTGAATGTCATTTAAGGCATCTGAAATTCTCCTGATCAGTGACCCATTTTAAAAGAGGAGCTATAATAATCTAAATGGCACTGTGTAAATTTGAACAATGTTCCCAAATAATGGCTTTAGGCAGCATTCAAACCCATAATGACATAGGCAGAGAAACCTATGTAAAATCTTTGTCAATGAAAAAAATACCAATGAAATAATTACAATGGCACTACTATAGATTTTTAGTTCTCTGACATGAAGCAAACTTGTTTGGATTGTGTTAAAACTCACTTAAATATCAAAGAAAATATGAAAATAAAATTCTAAAGCTCTTTAGCTTTCTAAATCTGTTAGCTATTTATAGAAAGTGATTCTTCAGGGCAATAAGTATGCCCCCATTTTACAAATAAGTAGGAGAAAAGTCATGCCCAAGAAAGTCATACCAAATCACAAAGAATTAAATTGTGCCTTACTGAAAACAAAATCCACACAGGGTATGTTTTTAGCTTGGGGAAAAAAAAAATTCCTATACCACCTTCTCAAAGGGTCAGGAGGGGAATGCAAAGAGACACGGTAAGGCAGGAACATTAACAAAGATTCTCAAAGCAAAGACCAGCTTAAAGAACTATGGCAGGCTTTGACATTTCTAAATAAGAAATAATTTTAACATAATACAATTTTTTAAAAAGATTTTATTTATTTGACAAAGAGAGACACCGTGAGAGAGGAAACACAAGCGGAAGGAGTGGGAGAGGGAGAAGCAGGCTCCCCGCTGAGCAAGGAGCCCAATGCGGGGGTTCCATCCCAGGACCTTGGGATCATGACCTAAGCTGAAGGCAGACACTTAAGGACAGAGCCACCCAGGTGTCCCTTAACATAATTTATGCGGTTAAATAAGTGGGCTACACAAAACCACAAAAAGAACTGCACACTCATTAGTGATTAGTGATGATAATTATCAAAACAAAATCCCAGAAAAGAGCAAGTGTTGGTGAAAATATGAAGTTGGAACCCTTGTGCACTGCTGATGGGAATGTAAAATAACCCAGCAGTGTAGAAAACAGTGTGGTGTGGTGGTTCCTCAAAAAAAATTAAACACAGGGATGCCTGGGTGGCTCAGTTGGTTAAGCAGCTGCCTTCAGCTCAGGTCATGATCCCAGCATCCTGGGATCGAGTCCCACATCGGGCTCCTTGCTCGCCTCTGCCTCTGCCTGCCATTCTGTCTGCCTGTGCTCTCTCTCTCTCCCTCTCTCTCTCTGATAAATAAATAAAATCTTAAAAAAAAAAAAATTAAACACATAATTACCACAGGATCCTGCAATTGCACTTCTGGGTATATACTCAAAAAGAAATGAAAGCAGGAGTCTCAGATATTTGTATACCAATGTTCATAGGTATACTCACTATAGCCAAAAGACAGGAACAACCCAAATGTCCATCAGTGGATGAATGGATAAACAAAATGTGTTATATAATGTAACATTACTCAGCCTTAAAAAGAAATTAAATTCTGACACATGCTACAACAGGAATGAACCTGAGGACATTATGTTAAGTGAAATAAGTCAGTCACAAAAAACAAGTACTGTATGATTCTATTTATCTGAGGTATCCAGAGTACTCAAATTCATAGAGACAGAAAGTAGAATGGTGGTTACTGGGGGCTGGGAGGGAGGGGGAAATAGAGAGCTATTTAATGGCACAGAATTTCAGTCTGAGAAGTTGAAAGAGTTCTGAAGGTAGATGCTAATGATGGTTTTAACAGTGTGAATGTTCTTAATAACACTGACCTGTCACTTAAAAAATGGTTAGAATGGCAAATTTTGTTATGTGTATTTTATCACAATAAAAAATATCTTTTTTTCCACAATAAAAAAATATTTTTAAATAGGTTACACACACACTCTTTCATATTAAATGGGGAAACCCACTGCAAAGCTCTTACAGCAATGCATTCTTGACCATCAAAATCTCTCTGGTGTTGTGTTGTTATTACTATCAGGAAGCAAGCATCATTTTGTAAAAAGTACTGAACTTGTAGTTATTGTTCAATTACACCGACTTCTGCTGTTGATTTCTGGCCAGCCCTTTACTGTTTCCTGTAATACTTGCTTACCAGACTTACCAGATTTTCAAAAGAGGCGAGACATTTTATATAGGAAAGGAAGGTTATTTCCTTAATATAAGTGTTTCCTTCTGATATTATACCACTTGATAAAAACAAAATAATTTAACATTTAATCATATTCAAAGTCTGTAACCTTAAAATAATCCCCACAAAAGCCTTAAGAATGATAAAGATTAAAAACAAACTTTAAAATTTGTTCTTCATGGCTATTTTTATTGTGAAAAATTTTATCTCTTCTAATCCTCTGAATTCTAACATTTGAAAATACTGTTTTTGATTGCAACTTCAATAATCCCCTTCCTCATCCTTTTCCTTCATCCTTCTCCCCCAAATCCTTCAGGTATATCCTCTCATTAGCGGCCTGAATTCTGTACACATTCAAATATGCTGTGTGTGGGTAATGGATCACCCATAATAATGCCACCCCAATAATATATTTACTACTTCCAAACTGAACTTTTCCAACAGGTTGCTTATCCATTTTTCTATCCTGTCCCTAACTCCTATGGCAGACATTAGGACTGTCCAACACATTTCAGATCCCCTTCCAGGCACAGGTTAAGACTGTACTTTTCCACCATCTTTGAAATTAGGCTTATCTGTAAGACCTGCCTCGGCCAATGAGATGTGAGTGGAAGTACATGTGTCACTTCTGGGTTGAAGTTTTAAGTGATTGTTGTGTCCTCCTTCAATCTCCTCTCCCCACAATACTGCAAGGTTCAGAGAAGCATCTATGGAGATGGAGTCTCATTAGTGTGGGGCCCTGAGTGTAGTAAGAAGAGGCTCCATGAGGACCTCCACTGGTCATATACTATCAACAAAAATCTCAGGTGTTGACACCTGAGATTTTGAAGTTATTACCACTGTGTATCCTAGAACCCAGCCTATCCTGACTGACACACTCCCCTCTTTGCCAGTTCCCTGAAGTGGCTACTTCCGTCCTCTCAAAGCCTTTAAAAGCATGAACTCTATCAACTTCCATCACCGTTACTTGTATCTTATCAGTAACAGGACCGTTCTTAGATTTTTTACTCTTATTACAACTTATTCTTTACAGCTACTATATGTAAGTAAAATTTTACCTTCAAAGTAGTTTTTGTTCTGTTGGGAGGAAGAGCTGACACATTCTATATTTAGGTTGTTTGTCTTCACCTGGTCACTAAAACACAGAAGAAAACATACACCAAATACATCAGCTATCATGAATTATTATTTTAGTTAGAATCTGAGAAGAAGAAAGGAAATAACATGTGTTAAACAATTATTATATGTGTTGTTCTAGGGGATTAATCTGCATTATTTAATTTATATCTCCACAACAACACTTAAGTAGTTATTATCCTCATTTTTTAATAGGCGATTAAGGTTGTCAAAGTCAAATTCATTTGCCCAATACTTAAAATCCAAGTCTATCTGGTTGCAAAACCCTGATCTTTCTACTACCCTAGGCTACCCCTTTCTGAGATGTGTTATGAAATTACCCTGCCAAACAAAAAAGTTTTCTGAAGTCCTTATTGCAATGATTATTTGAATAAAATACAAACATTTGATTTTTGCAAATCTGGCTTTTAAATAATAAATGTGATCAAAACACCAGCTAATAACAAATTAAGGTGTCTTAGGTGGGTTAAAAGCAGAAACTGTGACTAGACTGATGTAAGAAATCAGCCAATTAAGCTGTGGACATATTTTAGAGGTTACAAAGAAAAGGGCAAATGTACTGCTAACAATAATATACAAATACATTCAGAATTAATTAAAAATTAATTGAACACAGACTTAGTTATTTGGCTGCATTCTTTTATATTTGCTAAAGGAAATAAATCTCTCTTCCATGAAACTGGCTATGAAAGTAGAAAATATCCCAGCTCTGAGTTACCGATGTTAGAGATGGGATAATGGACATTAAAGAGACCAAAGAATTAACTAATTAGCTTAATGAGCAAGATGCAGCCAATTTAAACTATGATTTGAAACCTGCAGTATGTATTAATAGTTATCAGTGGCAACAATAACAATGTATTTCTGTACTTTTAAAATTTCCTAAAAATATTTTTGGAATCAGGAAATAAATATTAAAAATAAACCCCCTGAAATATCAAATAACCTGCAATATCTCAGGTCTCTTCACTTTGCAGTCAAGCTCTTTCCATTACACTTAATTGAACCCAGACTTTGAAATGACTTCACATAACAGGAGAGAATGATGGGGAAAATCATTCAGTTAATATGCGCATTACCTGCTGGATACTGTTTCTTTAACACCACTGATATCTGTTACTGTGCCATTTCCATCGATAACAGGTGAATCCAAATTAGCAGATCCATTACTGACGTGATCACTACTTTCATATCCAGACTCAGTTCTTTGCATCTGCCAATTGTCACCATGAACTTTAGTCTCTTTGAGGCCTTTATTTTTCTCTGCTCCTTTTCCATTAGATTCAAGGGAACTCCTGCTTCCTATTTCCTGCTTCATTTCATCTTCATATATGGTCATTAAACATTTTTGCTTTAGGTTCTCTTTTGGCCAATTGTTAAAGGTCTGATCTTTGCTACATTTAGGTTTGTTACTGATACTTGGTTTATGTCTTGGACTATGCTGCCTTTTTTCACTTTCATTAAAAATACTATCAACATTTAATGTTTCTCTCATAGGTTTCCAACCTCGGGCCCGGCTTTTACTGCTGCCACTATAGCTGCTTCCTTTATCCCTAGAATCTTGGCTGCTGTCTGTATCATATCCAGTGCCACTGTCACTCTTAACTTTGCCAGTTACTTTCACTCCTGGGGCAAGAATCTGGGATTTACTTGAACCCAGTGTTTGTGCAGAAGCTCGACTCTGATGGGCAACTCGGTCATGTTTACATGGTCCTCTTCCTTGACTATGATAGAGATGTGGGTTTCCATATTGTCTAAAGCCATTTGGGGCAGGAGGTGATCCAGACTTGAAATGTGGAAGGTCTTCATCAACCAAATCTTTAAATAATTAAATAAAGATACAAATGAATACTCTTCAGAGATATTTTTTAGTTACAAGCCAAATACCTTGTTTGAGAAGAAATGTTAAGCAGTAATAAGTGAATAGTAATTATAAGATTCATATTATATCACATAGTGATTTGACATTGAAAAGTGTTTTCCTCATTCTCTATGTTTATGAGAGGCATTTGTAAGGTAAGCAGTTATATACTGATTTTAAAAAATGACCTCTAAAGTAGATCATAATTAAAGCTTTAAAAAAACAAACAGTATTCTATCTCACTCATCATTAATGAAAATTATAATAATAAAAGTATTTTCCATCTCTTATACTGGTAAAGATTTAAAGTTTGTTAAGCCAACTTCTGCTAAGAGTGTGAAGAAGCAGATAATCACGCAGTCAGTGGGAGTGCAGACTGGTTCAGTCTTTTAGGAGAGCAGGTGAGCCACAGCCATCAAAATTAAGAACAAACACTCCTTAACCCAGCAATTCCCAGAAAAAATTTCATGCTCTGGCTATACACAAAAAAGTACACAAAGGTGCATGTAAAAGGATATCACTGCAGCAAAAATCTTAAATCATGTTTCAAAGTCTAGCAAGGATCATTTAAATTATGGTATGTCCATAAAGAAAAGAGGATAAAGCCATAAAGAGTAAGGCATGCTCATAATGAACTGCACACTATTAACAGAGGGAAGGTGAGAGGCTGCTTTTCTCACATAATTTTATAATCTTCCTTCTTATTTGAATGTACCATATGGGGGAACTGAATGTGTAACTAAAAGGAAAGTTAAACCATCAGAACAAGCACAAGTATTCCAGGCCAGAATTAAATAAGAACCAGAAAAATTGCGTATTTATAGATTTAACAGGTATATTAAAGACATCATATTGAGATACGTAACATAACATGTAAACAGATATATATAACAAATATAAATAAATTATATTAAGTTGTATTAAAGTTATAAAATCTAGTTTAAAAATAAGATTTTAGCAACTCCTTTTCAAATGAATACTATTAAGCTCTTAAACTTACCTCTGTGTCGGCCCAAATCTTTTCTTTGTTCCCTCTCCAAATCTTTCCTTTGTGAGGAAAGTATGTTCCTCTGTTCAATGGCTTTTAAAGCACATTCTCTGGAAATGTCTTTTATTTTTTCCCTTTGATCACTGTGACTTAACTTAACTGTAAAAGAAATCATTCTTATAAATGATATAGATCAGTTTTCAAATTGCTCAAAAGTATGAACTGAACTATAAAAATTTTAAGATGCTATATATTTAAAAATATATATAAAGTATACTATGAACTCATTTTTATGTTTAACCAAAAAACTCAATGTGATTTATCCTCACACTGGAGATGGATGTTGGCTTTTATAACTTTTTGTATAGCTCCTAAAGCCAGGTAAAGGAAAAAAGAGATCTTGCACTGAAATAATAAAGACTGAAGGTGAGTGGTCACTATGTGTGACTATTATAAGTCAGACACTATTGTAAGTCTTAACTCATTTAATTCTTTGAGGTAGGGGCAATTATTGTCTCCACTGTGGATCAGGAAACTGAGGCGGAGAAAAGTTAAAAAGCTTGTAAATTTAGAAACTGGCTTATAAACCCAAGTTGCCTGGTTCTAATGTTTGTGTTTGTTATCACATACAAAGTTTCTGGGCTTAAAAGTAGTTATCTTTCGACAAACAGCTTAATCTAAGAGTATGACAACACAGACGGTAAAAGGTATAGTTCCATTAAGAACTTTTAAAAGCATTTATTGTAGTTCTTTATTGATGACAACTGTTAATTCTGGATCCTACCACCCTTGATTAAATGGGTTAGTTTTATGGTTAGACATTACTTCATTAATGTATTTTACTTTATTTATTTATTTGAGAGAGAGAGAGAGATCACAAGTAGGCAGAGAGGCAGGCAGAGAGAGAGAGAGGGAAGCAGGCTCCTGACCAAGCAGAGAGCCTGACGCGGGCCTCAATCCCGGATCCCAAGACCATGACCTGAGCCAAAGGCAGAGGCTTAACCCACTGAGCCACCCAGGCACCCCTCATTAATGTATTTTAAAGCTGCTTATAAAATCATCCTGAACATCCACCTACTCGGAGTTCAATGTATTTCTAAACCACAACTATACACACCATGCTGCAATGTCTCAATTTGGACCCAAGTCACAGAACTTGGTTTGTGAAAATTAAAGTTGTGGGATGACAATAACAAGACAGTTGAATAAAAATGAGGTTAGGTACAAATTACAACTATAATAACTTTGAACTCCTACTGTTGCATTCACTACTGGTTAATTTAAATTTAGCATATGTGCTAAATTATTAACTCATGTTTTTCCCCTCCAAGTTAATAATTAACTCCTAAGAAGGCCATATTATGACTTTCTTTGGTAACTGTCCAGATTGCCTCCAGCCTACTACAGCTCTGAGAGTATGGAGAAACCCAAATAATAGTCAAGTCCAGTTCAAATCAAACTACAAGTCTGAGAGAAATGTGTAAAAGACAAAATTTTGTTATCTAGTTGTAGGGAAGTTAGTTAAGCACCCTCTTTTTCTATGGTACTTAACAGAAATTACAGATTCAGTAAAAAGGAAAGGGGGAAGCATAATTACTCAGGGACAATGTGAAAATGACAATTTAAACACATACCTGGTCCTCTACCACCACTTGTTTGAATATGGCTCCGGCTAAATGATGAAATATTATCTGTTTGAAGTTTCTGATTTTCTCTCTGTTTCGCCTGATCACCAAATCCATTTTCTTTTGAATTATCTGACTTATAAATTGAGGACTTTTCACATCCTTAAAAGATAAAAATGTATTATTCCCATCCTCCTCCCCACCAAAAGAAAAGAAGTCTGAATTTTTTTTTTTTTTTTTTTTTTTAAAGCAATTTCTACACCCAATGTGGGGCTTGGGCTCACAACCCTGAGATCGAGTTGCATGTTCCACTGACTGAGCCAGCCAGGCTCCCCTGAATCATTTTTTTTTTTTTTTAATGTGATGGATAACTGCTTATAAACTCAAAGGACTGACATTTTTGAAGGATTTCTACCTGCTTTGCAATGCATTAATAATGGCCTATGTCCTTTGGACTTTTTTAGTGTAGAACTCACTTTAACTCTCAATTTGTACTGCTAGAAAGAGCTTCCAGTCAAGTTTCCCCTTCTGTGCCTATTACCACAGAAGTGGGTGGTTCCTGAGGGTGTTTTAGAGGCCACTGGTGAGGAAAGGCTTCTTTATGAAGATTAACTCAAAATAATCTAATTTTTCTGAACTCTGCTTTACTGAAATTAAATTTTGAGATTATTCTCAAAATTAATTTTATCCTCACTATATTAATACTTAGTATGATAAAGAACACTAAAAAGAACTTTTAAAAATTACCCATATTTGGGGCGCCTGGGTGGCTCAGTGGGTTAAAGCCTCTGCCTTTGGCTCAGGTCATGATCCCAGGGTCCTGGGATCGAGCCCCACATGGGGCTCTCTGCTCGGCAGGGAGCCTGCTCCCCCCTCTCTCTCTGTCTCTCTGCCTACTTGTGATCTCTGTCTGTCAAATAAATAAATAAAATCCTTAAAAAAAAAATTTACCCATATTTCCTGCAACGGATTTATAATGTGACCAGTTGATGACCTGCCTAAGTGCATCTTCCGTAGAAACTGCTGTGCCATCGGGGTTTGCATAAAACAAAAGCAATGGCTGGAAATGACATCGGATACATTTGGAGACCACATCCTTCCATCTAGTCCCAACCTTCAAAAAAAAAAAAAAACCCACAATGAATAAAAGCAAGACAAAATCGTGTAATCAATGTGTTACATATTTGAATAGCAGAGACTAATTTGTATATTAAAAATTTTTAAGGAATTCAGACACTAGCAGTTAAATGTTCATATTATAGGATTACTTTTATCTTTAACTAGTCTAATAAACATCTTTACAACATTATTAAAAATTGAGAAAAATTGTACACACTATATCAAGATTTAGACTACCAAATTTTTTTTTTGCTTGATGTTCATTTTATTTTTTTAATTTTTAACTTTTTTATAAACATATAACGTATTATTAGCCCCAGGGGTACAGGTCTGTGAACTGCCAGGTTTACACACTTCACAGCACTCACCATAGTACATACCCTCCCCAATGTCCATAACCCCACCACCCTCTCCTGTCCCCCCTCCCCCCTGGCAGCCCTCAGTTTGTTTTGTGAGATTAAGAGTCTCTTATGGTTTGTCTCTCTCCCGATCCCATCTTGTTTCATTTAATCTTTTCCTACCCCCCCAAACCCCCCACGTTGCATCTCCACTTCCTCATATCAGGGAGATCATATGATAGTTGTCTTTCTCCGATTGACTTATTTCGCTAAGCATAATAGCCTCTAGTTCCATCCATGTCATTGCAAATGGCAGGATTTCATTTCTTTTGATGGCTGCATAGTATTCCATTGTGTATATATACCACATCTTCTTTATCCATTCATCTGTTGATGGACATCTAGGTTCTTTCCATAGTTTGGCTATTGTGGACATTGCTGCTATAAACATTCGGGTGCACGTGCCCCTTCGGATCACTACGTTTGTATCTTTAGGGTAAATACTCAGTAGTGCAATTGCTGGGTCATAGGGTAGTTCTATTTTCAACATTTTGAGGAACCTCCATGCTGTTTTCCAGAGTGGTTGTACCAGCTTGCGTTCCCACCAACAGTGTAGGAGGGTTCCCCTTTCTCCGCATCCTTGCCAGCATCTTAGACTATCAAATTTTAAAAAGCTTTTCTACATACAAGGTTGATTGACAAAAATTTAAAGGTAATTTAATGGAGAACTATGAGTCTATTCAACAAGGTGCTGGAACAACTGGATGGCCATATGAAAAAATGAAGTTTGACACCACTACACATAAAGCACAACAATTAAATCAGAACGAGTCACACAAAAACTTAAAGCTTATAGAAAAAAACAAAAGAGAAAATCTTAACAACCTTGGAGAAGGTAAAGATTTCTTACTACATCAAACAGGGGCGACTGGGGGGCTCAGCTGGTTGAGAATCTGACTCTTGATTTCGGCTCAGTTCATGACCTGGAGATCATGGGGTCCAGGGCTCTGTGATAAGGTGGAGCTCGCTTGACATTCTCTCTCCTTTTCCCTCTGCCCCTCCCCCTACTTTTCAACATGCACACACACACTCTCTCTCTCTTAGAAAAACAAAACAAAAGAAGATAGGACATCAAACAAACCACAGAAGAAAAAAGTTATAAAATGGGATTCATATAAAAATAAATTAATAACTTCTGCTGTTTAAAGGTTACCATTAAGAAAATGAAGAAAACAAGTCACATACATCGAATAATGGACAGGTGTGCAGAATGAAGAATTCCTGCAATTCACTAATAAGAAGATGATCAAATTTAAAATGGGCAAACAACTGAATACACTTCACCAAAAATAAAAAAACGAAAGAATGGCCAATTAGCACAAAAAGGTACTCAAAATATTGCTAATCATAAATAAAATGCAAATTAAAACCACACTGAAATAACACTGTACTTTCTTTATACGGGCTAAAATTAAAGACTATCAACATAAAACTCTGCTGAGAATGTGGAGCAACTGGAATTCTCATACACTAACAGGAATGTGAATTGTTATAATCACTATGAAGATCATTTTGCCAGTTCCTTATAAAGTTTAACTACACTTATACAACCCAGAAGTTCCACTTCTGAGTATATATATATATATATATTTTTTTTTTTTTTTTTTTTTTTTTTTTTAATTGGAGGGGAAGGGCAGAGGGGAAGAGAAAGAATCCTAAGCAGGCAACACATCTGGCACAGAATGCAATGTGGGGCTTAATCACAAGAACCTGAGATCATGACATGAGCTGAAATCAAGAATCTGATGCTTAACTGACTGAGCCATCCAGGTGTCTCCACTTCTGAGTATTAGCTAAGAGCAACGGGGAAAAAAAAATCATGTTCACATAAAAATTATTTATAATTCAAAAGGTAAATGGATAAATTGTTATATAGGCATGTAATGGAACACAACAATAAAAATGAACCACTAACAGAACATGAATCTTAAAAGGCATTATGCTTGGTAAAGGAAGCCAAACACAGAGAACTGAGACTGTGAGACACCATTCTTACATAATTATAGAATGAACCAGACTAATCTATTGTGAGATCGGTGATTTCCTAGAGCCCAGGATAGGGTGGGGGGGTACTGGCAGTAAAGGGACATGACAGAATTTTCTGGGTGATAATTGTGTAGGTTACATAGGTGTGTACACATTTGTCCATACCTATGTATAGGTGCATTTTAATGTTTGTAAACTATACCTCTAAAAAACTGATTCAAAACAAAATAAAACAAAAACCAACCAAATATAAAACAAAGCATTCTAGAATACTGGCTTTGGTATAAAGAAGAGATCTTTAAAAGTCCTAAGGAGCTTTCTCAAACCACACATATTTAGCTATTTAACCTTCTTACCTTGGAATCTGAGATACTTGAGGAACTAGAGTAATTTGAAAACAAAACAAACCTAAACCTCAGAGTGACTATACATCCAACTCTTCCTTCAAATATTGACCATTTAAACTACGTAGATAGAAAGGAGTGCCAAAATATTACTAAACACTGATTCAAGGTGGAACTTGCTGATAAACTGTTATATAAAAGTACTATAATATGAGCAAAGTGTTTATTTTAGAATACCCAAATTTTTTCTTTGGATTGAGTAGAATTTACATGGAATAAAACTACTCAGTTATAGTATACCAGTCAACGAATTCTGCCAAATACATACATACAATCAAGTAGCTCCCCCTCTGCAGTGACTGGACCAATGATTTACTTTCTGTCACTTTGTTTTTTCCTTTTCATGAGTTTTAATAAGCAGAATCATAGTTTCTTATGTCTCACTTCTTTCATTTACCATATCGCTTTTCAGATTTTTCCACAATGTTGCATGTATCAATAGTTCATTACTTTTTACTGCTGAGTATTATATTCCATTGAATGGTTATACCACACTTTGTTTATCCATTTACCTGTTGATGGACATTTGAGTTGTTTCCAGTTTTGGTTATTATGAACAAAACTACTATAAACATTCAAGTACAAGTTTTGTGTGTTTTTACAGGAGTGGAATTACCAGTATCTATGGTAAGTACATGTTTAAGTCATAAGAAATTCATAAAGTTTTCTAAAGTAACTGTTCATTTTGTATTTCCATCACTCTTCTGTGAGAGATCTAGCTATTTCACATCTTCACCAACTCTTGGTATGGTCAGTCTTTTTAGTTTTAGCTATTCTTACACATGAGATATAGAATCTCATTGTGAGTTGAATTTGTATTACTTTATACCTAATAATTTACTGAACATCATTTTTTAAGGGTAGGGACCCAGCTTCCTATGGTTCTTCACTCTTGGCCTCTCTCACACTGAGCCCACAGATTTTTTTAAATTCCAGGATTCTTATTTAATAAAAAACTAAACCTTTATTTTAGTTACGCAAAAAAAAAAAAAAAAAAAAAGCAATTACAACTAATAATGCATGCACACAAAAACCTTGCAACTCTTTTTTTCATTTTGATCTCTTTCCTTCTTTCATACCTATGGCTGGACCCCAAATTCTCTTTCATCCCAAACTCCAAAAAGACCTTGTTTTACAGACTCAGACTTGGAAGGCTATGGTGTCTCTCACCCTTCTCTTCTTTCCATGCCTGCTCTCTCTCTTCCTATGATGTTTGCCTTCAGCTAGGTTCTCTGGCTACTCAAGTCCTGATGTGTATTATAAAGGTTCAGGTCCTGATGAGCCAAAACGAAATGCGCTTCATGTCACAGGAGAGAAGAGAAGCCCATGAGGGGATTCTCCTACCTGTGAGGCAAGAAGATGCTGTGAATACTCATCTCACCTTGCCATGCCAGCTTTCCAGACTGCCCTTAATGTATTCCCAGAAGGCACCAGGGCACTCTACAGTAGTGGATACACCCAAAAACCCAGGAGTTACTCTGGGTTATGGAATCATTTATAGCTAAATGAGCCCTAAGAAGTCCTCATCCTACATAGTCCTTGTGACAGTACTATTGAGTTTCTTTGCTAATATTAAGACACCTGAGTCAGATTTACTTTTCTCATGACTTTTTCTAAAGGTAAGTAAGGTGAACAACTACAATATGGTGTGACCTTGGTAGCTCTCTGTAGATCTTCCTGGACCTACCTATTTTCCTTTCACTTGACCTTGCTGCTAAAAAAAATTTTGGTAGAGTCAAAACACCAAAAAATACAATACCAATCCTGGAAATAAACCTACTCAACTTTTTCTGGAGCAGAGCCTCAACAGTTGTGGAGTCATAGAGGTCAGGAGCTCTCAGGGAGAGGGACACATCACAGTTGGGGAAAAGGAAGAAGAAATGGGATGTGGAGACCTTCAAGTTCAATTTATATGTCAAAGTTTGCCTGGGGGTCCTTATTCCCTCCTTTTCTCTACCTCCATTTCTGGATTAGTATCATAAGGAAAATGGTAGGCAAGTCACATATGTATCGTGAGCAACTGTGTGTGTGTGTGTGTGTGTGTGTGTGTGTATGTGTGTGTGTGTTTATGTAATTTAATTTTTTAAAAGTTTTTATTTAAATTCCAGCTGGTTAACATACAGTGTTAGTCTCAGGTACATAGTGATTCAGCATTTCTACACAACACCCAGTGCTTATCACAAGTAAACTCCTTTGTCCCTTCCCCT